AGGAAAATGACAATAGTAAGGATCAGGAAATAAAAAGCAGCTGTTCCCTGTTGTAGATCAGGCACAGTTATAAGTGTGACATGATAAATCAGCCCACTTACATCTATAGTGCTTGAACGAAAAACGTTCCCTCCCCCCCTTTCGGGAATGGCCTAAAGACACTTCAGTCAGTGACACTGCCCTGGGGGGAATCAGTATGTATGTCTGTCTGTCTTGCTATCTCTTTCTCTCTCCTCCCCCCCCCTCTTTCTCTCTCCCTGACCTCCTGACCCCTGACCCAGTGAGCCCCTGACCCCTGACCTCCTGACCTGCAGCTTCAGCCGATGGCCCTCTATCGGGATGATCTTGAGCACGGGCAGCTCTTGCAGCAGCTGTTTGGGCGGCTGTCGCTTCACACACATCCTGTCCACGTCCCACGAGGCACCCTCCAGGTACAGGCCATGAGCGAAACAACCTGCTCACGAAGAGGATAGAGGTTTTCTTTAGTTTTAGTAAGAGTTTAGTTTAGTTTTAGTAAGTGTTTTACGGCACTTACAACACAATAAGGTCATAATGTGGTAGCATTTAAGTACAAGGGAGATATCCCAAAAAATGCTGTTAAGGGAAAATCGAAGGTAATGTTTCTGCCCCTTGTTCTGTTTCTTTAAAAGACAAGGAGAGTTTTCTCTATAATCGAACATGCACACCAATGAACAAATATTCCCCTACAGGTAGAGCAATGCCCTCTTTTGGTGTAGGTCAAGATTTCTGGAAATCCCCGAAATTTGGATTAGTCCGCTTGTCCTTAAAAGGGACCATATAAGTGCCGAAGATTAGAGGTGTTACAAGAGAGTAACAAACACAAAAAAGAAGGAGGGGAGATTAAAAAAAAGATATATGTTTGATAGGAAAGAAGAAGCAAACCACACCAGAGCACCCACAGTAAGAGTTTTACGGCACTTGCAACACTATCAGATCATATAAGTGCCGAAGATTAAAGGTGTTACAAGAGAGTAACAAATATAAAAACGAAGGAGGAGAGATCAGGACGATAGCTGTTTGATAGGAAAGATGGAGCAAACCACACCAGAGCACCCACCAACCACCCACAGAGGACAGAGAACAGGACGACTTGCTCAGGTCATGAGCACACTGGAAACGTTTCCACTCGTCGTATGGCTTCAGAGCATGATGTCACTCGCGAATATTGTCTCATTTGCATACACGCCGCCGTGCGATGAGTTCTCTCTTTTTCCTCAGTAGAAAGGTGGGCAGTAACGTCAAACATACTGAAACTCAAAGTTCGATTTCAAGTTTGGTTGTACATCAGTTAGGTATCGAAAATACTTAAGGGGTGGGGCTACACCCCCAAAATCAAAATTCGGCTCAAAATCATGGAATTTGAGTTGTAAGCATTTATAGCTTCCCCAGCCTCTC